TATATATATATTTCCAACACTCAAGCGACTCCAGCTAATTTTCTAATTAAAGCTACACAACTCTAAGTATCGATGTAAACTCAGAAGCAAAGCAGATAAAAGAAATAAAGCAGTAGAGCTTATAGGCCTAAAGCACACGCTGAGTTGTGATCTATAAGATTTCCAACAGCTTCTGACTCAAGGGCGGAAATTTGACATCTCTCCTATACAAAGGTTATCTGACACCTGCTAAATTTAACAGTGCGGTTTATTTTTATTTCTCTTCAGGAGGGTCAGAGGGGAGGAAGAGTCGCTTCTGCACACCTGAACAGGGTTAAAACCTTGGGTGTAAAAAGAAAGAAAAAAGAAAAGAACTTAACCTGACACATTTTCCCGCAGACAATGCCAAAAGACAACTGAGGAAGCAGTCAGGAAAATTAGCACAAGAAATTTAAAGTGAGGAGAAAAGAGAAAAAGAAAAACAACAACCAGATGTGGCAGACAGGCTTCAGGGTAGGTTGTTTAGGAAATTTTAATCAAGCTGCAAATGAAGATGTCAACCACTAAAATTAGAAATAATTACATCAAGGATGTAATTTCATACAACTCACCATCTTCTCCAGAGTAACCTGTGACAGTTTTAGGTTCTGGACCTGAGCCAAAGCTGTTCCGGCTCTGGACTTTGATCTCGTAGGGGATGAAGGTGGGGGTGTCCTTTACGACAAAAGAAGGTCTCTGGACCAGGTGGACCTTCCAGTCATCTTGTACCCCCAGTTTTCTGTAGCTCACGTTGTACTCAAGGCCTGGGCCATTGAACTCAGTCGGTGAGAGTGGCTACAGACAAAGTGTTCGTTTGACTTAGAAATGACCTCAGAGAATTAAGAAACATTTAGTTTAAGATCCTGAATATGCTCTTTGTTAAAAATACATGAATATAATTCTTACATCCCAGCTGATGTCCATTTGATGGGGAAGGTGGCCTTGAATTCTGATATTTTCTGGGTTTTTGTCAGGAGCTAATAAATAAATAATCAAAACACACATTTTAGAGAGAGGATTTAAAAACGTGTTTTTAATCTTCTGACCCACAAAATAATGTAAAGCGTAATATGTTGTATGTAGCCCCGGAAACACAGTGCCTAACTCTGGGATGGGCTGGGAGCCCATCGGCCCATGGCTTTCGCCCATCACGCCAATGCAGTTCTTTGAATCTAAAAGCTGCTTTGGAGGATTTTTAAAGCAAAAAATACTTTTTCTTTTTTTCACCTTTTTTTTTCTTTTTGGTGGGGGTTAGACCAGTGGTTCCCAAACTTTTCAGCAGCAGAGACCTGTACCCCAGGCTATGATTGGTTGATATGCATTGTTTTCACGTCAAATAAACAAGAGTATTATTTATTACACTATTTTTAATCCATTTTAAGTACACCAAAGTTATTCGTTTGTAACAACATAGGTAAAAAAATGTTAGTTTTCATTTTTGTGTAATTAATTCAGAAAATATTTTCAGATCCCCACCTTGATGTATCAGGACCCCAGTGCGGGTCCTGATCCCAGCTTTGGGAACAACTGGGTTAGACTGTATCTGTTCTTATCTGTTCACAGAATTTCAAGGCAAACCTATACGTTTGGTCTATTTAGAGAGGCTGTCTGCCATGAAGTATTTTCATATACTGTATTTATTCATGTGTAATATTA